TTCGTTAAAAAAAAAAAAAAAAAAAAAAAAAAAAAAGGGAAAGAGAAAATTGAGCAAGATCGATAATACCTGAACCGATTCCCTCCAACGCAAGATCGCTCGACAATTGCTGAAAAAAAGAAAGGGTGATCGAGCCTTGTCGATGCCGCCTGGGTGTGTCTTTCCAACAGCAACACGCCGTTTTCCCAATCGAGTCCCAATGATCGTGTGTATCGTGGATGAATGTATCTGACGTTGTCGGCAAACGATCGTCCAAGCCTGATCATCACCAAGTGGTGCACTTGTTGGGGGGGTTCATCTTGGTTCCGATCGGGCAACGGAACGCGTCCGCGAACGCTTGCGAGTTCATCATTATACCGTTGACTCTGTGTCGACACGTTGCAGAATGTTTGAACCGATAGACGCTATTATATATATACTTCAACTGCATGGATATTGAATTCTTTGACGTTTGACTCGAGGGAAGAGTTACCTTTCGGGCTGAGGTGTGTGATAGTCGAGCTCAACTGAAAGAATGTAGGCCTCGGCAGTCATATTGGAACAGTAGGTCTGCAACGCAATGCGGAAAACAAAACTGCTGTACATTAATGGGACATTGTCTCGCAATCTGGTGGAATGAATAATTTTTTGAAATTTCCATCTGTCCAAAAAAAAAAAAAAAAAAAAACGGGGGAGAGAAGAAGGGAGAAAGTGCCAGCGTACAAGTATAATAATTACCAGAGTGCTAGAAAGTAACGAGATGATAAGATGAATGTGGTAGTTGCAGTAACTGATGAAAATAACGAAGACAGAAATATTAAACGGTATACAGATAAGTGCAATGAAGTGCGGCAAACAGAAGAAGAAAAGAAAATTCGACAAGTACTGTGCTAGTGAGATAGGGGATGACCAGGCCTCGTCTCTGAAACAGTAAATTGAGATGGAAGTGGAATAACGAGAATCGCCGTGGTGGACGGACGAGAAATCTCGAACTCGGTCGTAGGCGAGAGAGCCGGAAAGAGCGCTCGAGACCCCGGGATGAAAAGTTCGCGCGGCGGTGTTTACCTGGGCGGCGCTTATGAAGAAAAGCTGGCTCGAACGAAGCCCCTCCAATCCGGGAAGACTCCGGTCCTTCCCGTTCGTCAGGGTGTGCCAGGTTTTGTAAGAAATCTGCAAGGCTCCAATATCGGCGACGTTCTCGTTCCTCGTCACGTTCCAGTCGAACTGAAGATTAAAAAGAAGACGAAAAAAATCCCATCGAGTTTCAACGAACAGCCTACACCTTCCAAATCGTCGAAAAGAAAAACACGCGAGGATAGATAGAGAGATAGTCGTCTGTCTACCTGCACGGCGACGTCGTTCCCGTAAAACTGAACCTTCCTCCAGAAACTCCTGGCGTAGAGCCTGGCGACGCACTCGATCCTCGCTTCCAGCCTCTTCCAAGACTCCGGCGTGATCCAGAGCCATTGATCGACGTTCATGTCCGGGTCCAGTGGCAGTCGGCGTCGATGAAGGTCGAAGGCGTGGAGGATCTCGTGGCCGATCACCGATCCCAAGGTCGCGTGCGCCGCGTACGCCGGCCCACCGTCCCAGGACCACGACCAAGCAGTCATCATCGCCAGCGGGATGCCTAGAAATCGAGAAATGCTCTGAAATCAGGTCCCGCGACTCTTCTCTTTTCGCATTCGCTTTACCAATCGTGTTCGTCGACGATTCGTAGTAAGCGGTCACGCTGTACGGATGACGGCGCCTGTAACAAAGAAGTTCGTCCAACGTGACGTGTTAATCGAAGGAATCGATTTTTGCAGTAATAATATGAAAGAGGATAAAAGTGGGGAATGCTCACTTCTCGGTGACGTTCCTTCGTAGAACCTTGTCGTCCACGGTGCGAATCTGTCGTAACCGTCTGAGCACGGTGCGAAAGAAGTCCTCCGGGTCGATCTCCACCTACCGGAAGCGAGAGAGACGAACACGAGTCACGAATGGATGTATTGCGCGCGCGTTGCATGCAAAGAAACACGAGTAGGAAGGCCTCACCTCGGCCATTTCGCGGGCCAGCAGGCTCTCATTGTAGAAACCAGGCCATACGTGAAATCTTCCCCGCAACGAGTTCAGCTTCAACAATGCCTGCGTCCTTGTCTCCTCGTCTAGCCAAGATTTCACCAAAATACGCTCGGCTACTGTCTCTTTCACGCGTTCGAACAGCCCTCCCACCTGTTCGCGACACGATGCAATTTGTTTCGCAACCAAGAGAAAAAGAGAGAAAGAGAGAGAGAGAGAGAGAGAGAGAGAGAATAGAACGAACGACGAATATTTTTCATCGCCTTACCCTGTTGGCCAGTGTTTCTAAATACTGCGGCGTGTACTGCCGCACATACAGGGCGCCCGTCACCTCGCCGAAGACGTCCTTCGTCAACTTGAAGCAGGACAGCTCCCAGTTCTTGCTCCCGGTCACGTTCACGATGTCGTGGAGGGTGTCCGTTGCGTACAACAGCAACAGCCCGTTGTGAATAATCCTTCGTAACAAGATGCGCTTGTAAGTATTCCCCGTGTGTAATAGAAACGTTCGCTTTGGACCTCTCTTTTAATCAAACGTTCGAACGTGCGAACGTTCGAGTGAAATAATAGCCCCGCTGAGAACGAGAGAGTACGAATTATGTATATACAAGACTGCCCATAAGTAATTAATGCTGTAGAAAATTTCATTTTATTCAAGGGTTGATGCAGTTTTGATCTATAATATAATTTAACAATAATATAATAAATAATAATATTTATTATATTTGAAATAATTGTCATTTATTATATAGGTTATGTTATGATAAGTTAAATTATTGCCACTAGATGGCAATATTTATTAAATTTGAAAAAAGACGACTTTACAACACAGTTTTAATCTATAATGTAACTTAATAATAATAAGTACACTAAATGTCATTTATCACATTTAACTACAATATAGGTTATGTTATGATAAGTTAAATTATTGCCACTAGATGGCAATATTTATTAAATTTGAAAAAAAATGATATTTTTTAAACGAATTTTAATCTATAATATAATATATATAATATAATATAATATGTATAATTTAAGAATAAGCACACTAAATGTCATTTATTACATTTAACTAGAATATAGATTAAATTATTGTCAGTAGATGGCAATATTTTTTAAATTTGAAGAAAAACGATATTTTTTTAAACGAATTTTAATCTATAATTATAATATAATATATATAATATTATATTACATTATATTATATTATATTATATTATATTATATTATATTATATTATATTATATTATAATATAATATATATAATTTAAGAATAAGCACACTAAATGTCATTTATTACATTTAACTAGAATATAGGTCAAATTATTGTCAGTAGATGGCAATATTTGAAAAAAAAAAAGATGACACTACTTATGGGTAGCCCTTGTATATATATTTTACCGGAAGAGAATAACGGCCTAGAAGGTACAATAATGAACAACTGGCCCGGAAAGCCCAACGAATTAACCTTATCGATTCTGTCGAACCTGGGCCGCGTTTCAATTCAGTCGCAAGCACCAGTTTATTTCGTGGAATTCGATGATACGCTGCTCAATAAGTTTTCTCGCCTCTCCTCTTTGGAGGTTCGCGTCTCTAGGACACGATCAACGGATCGACCATGTCGATCGATACGAGATCATCGTCTGCGCGAGCAGACTCCGGCAACGGGGAAGAGCAGTGGCGCAGGTGGTCTGAATTTTCCTGACGAATGGTAATGCACGAATTAGGCAGCGATTTACGGGTGCACGCCCGCTACCGGTATCACAATTTATACGATAGCGCTACGTTTATTAGCCGCATACGCCACGACGGCGTGCACTGCGTACGAAGTTCTCTGCGCTTCGTAAATGTTACACCAGGCGCTGATTATAGCACGCCGACTAACCTTCCCGACGTTTAACCCAACGGTTTCATTTTCATCTGCCTCGGAGCTCTTTACCAGATTAATTCACCCGACGCGACATCGCGACGCGATTTAAGAGATGATTCTCGATATCATCTCGGAATTACCACGCGTATACGTTAAAACATATCGCGAGACTAGAAGTTGAGATAACTTTTGGAAAATGTTTTTTTTTTTTTTTTTTTTTGATAAAAGTTGAACGGTGAATTGATGTAACTGATATTTCTTTAATGCTGACATGCACAGATGACTGTTCGATTATTCGTGTCATTCTTTACGAAAAAGTAATGGTTAAGGAGATATTTTGATTAAAATATCGTGATGTCTTGTCTTCGTTCATAATTAGTTTTATGCTCTTTAGGTGTTTTATTTCTCAGACTATCATCGTTCATCAGATTTGAAATCATTAGACTTTTCTTTTCTCTGGCCAATCCTAGAAAATAAAGTCTACGTTGACGTATCAACAATTGCTGAAGACACACGTCAACGAATTGTCGAAGAATGTGAAACACTCAATGATGTTAAATATTGTGAAATATTCTTTGAAAATTAGATTGCGCGTTTAAAAGTGTTTAGGTGTCGATGGTCGTCACTTTGTCGAGCACATGTTGCAACAAATGAAACAAACATTTATTTCAGTCCGATCACAACAATCTGTTAATGCTGCTGTAATAGATAAATTCAATATTCTACGAACATTATTCCGAATCATTTCAATTAAAATATCTCCTAAACTAATAGAAACAAATAAACATCATCTATAACATCAAAAAATAATAATTGTTATCAGTCACAACTGTGCATCAACATCGAAAAACAATAATTATATCAGTCGATACCTTTCTCATCTGTCTGAAACAGAATAATTAATCGTTTCGAAAATATAATTTCGACTTTTCGTCTCTCAGGCGTATGTCTCATCCTATATACGTGTGTATCCCGCCGAATTTTAGGCAACAGTTGAAAATTCCAGTTTCGAGAATAATAACGGCAGACGATTGCAACAACGTACGCCGGAGGATTAAAATCCACGCTCTGCAGACGCTTCTCCGAAGGGACGTTTCGTGTCCAAAGAGCGGAACGAGCGTCCGCGCGCATCAAGGACGATAAATGGCCCGAAATAGTCATAGATGCGAGGCGCGTCTCGTCTTCTTGTTGCGCCGGAATACCTTCGGCAGTAATTATCGCGGTGGTTGGCTCTCTGTATTCATCCTCGGTGGTTGCGTCTGTCTGTCTGTCTGTCTGTCTGCGAGAGATAACAGCGAGCAACGAGCATAGGCTGCCAACTGCGCGCCGTTTCGGTACATCTCGAACTGGTTCGCCAGTCCACCTCCGGTTGATATTACCGTGAACTAGCAAAGTTTGGTGTTGATAATTCGCGTCTTGCTCGCGTCGGCCAAGTCTCCTTCAACTTTCGAAATTTATCGAATATCCGAAATAATTGTCCCTGTTGGGGGTCCTCTAAAGGAGGCCACAACATGCTATGGAATCTGTTGCTCCGAATGTAAGCTTCACGTCCCGGCGACCAGAAGAATTTCACCTTGAATTTCGGTTAGAAAGGAACCGGATTCCGCGTGTTCACCGACCGAATAACCCGAGTTCAGGTATCCGGAGCTGATTCCCCCCCCGGCGAATGTCGCCATCTTGCTACCCCTTTCGCAGCCTGTAACTTTTTCCATCTTTCTCTCTCTCTTTTTCCCGCGCGTTCGTTCAAACAGGTGTAGTGGTTCGGTTCCACCGAGAAACTAGTCTCCGTTTCTCCGTCCTCCAGTTAAATCCGATTGCTCGTCGATTTTCCTCTGTTCGAAGTTACCAAAGTTACCAAAGTTTGCTACTTTTACCTCGTCACTTTTCGAAATTTTCGAAACTTCACTCTCCAGGGACAATCAGCTAGGCGGAGGAAGTGAAGCCTGGTGCCGCCACGCATTATGTAAATTGGTCGTCGTCAAAGCGGAGTCTGTCAGCATTCGCGATTGGCACGTGTAGCCCGGCATCGAGCAATTTCAACCGTGATATTCAACCGAGCGCGGCGAGATACTTCGTTTAATGCAATCAGTACGACTGCCAGAGACTAGCAATCGCCACGATTCTCCCTTGGTACTGCTTGGACCGTGACTCGAACTATGCTGTTTTCCTCCACGGTGCGCGGTTCTAACATACCGTACGATGAAAAAAAAAAAAAAACATTTCCTGTCTGTTTTTTAGGAATTCCCGATCTCGCGCGGAAACTCGCCGCGTTCGAATATCGAATTCGACCGACTCGGTCGTTCGGATCAGTTGGCACCGATTGTTCTCTGTGCCGGCTCCCACTTTTTTGAGCGTTCAAACGAAAAATTATGGCGGAGCGATTTGCTAATTGATCGAACGAAAGGCTACGCGATTTAATTGCATTTCGATTGCTCGCTGTTCCATAGTTTGCCTCGATTAACGAGCCAACAAACGTACCGTACCAACTTCGTTTCGCAACTTCCACCACGTGGGAAGCGATATTAGCCGGATGCGCCAATTCCCCTCGCGACGAACGAGGTTGATAGATTGCACGACGAAGATCATTTCCCTCGAACATCTTGATAAGATTATAACACGTTCCGTGCCACAGTGGATTTCAAGCCATTTGGAATTTTCATTGTAAAACGGAGAATTTTTTAAAAATTTGTTATGAAGTCATGCATTGACATCTTGATAACGTGTATACCGCATTTATTCTATCGTGGCGCGTATACGATCATTTCTTCTGACTGTTAAGATCGGCTAAACTGTATAGGGTCTTTTCGTCCCATAAAAAAATTTCAACATTTTCATTAAAATTTTTAATTCATATAATAAATATAGTAGAGACAGTATATATTTCATTAATCCTTTCATTTCAGATTTCATTTAAAAATCAGTTGATTATGCTACCTTTGTACAGTTAATTATACTGCAGCCATTTAATTATTCATTGGACAGATTGACTTAAAATTATTTTTGATAAACAGGTGAATATATTTATTTGGCCAAATTGCTTATATTTATATTTTATAATTAAATACAATTTACATATAAATTACTACTAATTTAATCATTATATCTTATTTTTCAAAATTAAAAAAATTTTTTTTTTTAAATAATTGTATATATAAATGTATATTATTTATAAATTTTAATTTTTAAATATAGATAATAAATTTTCAATAATTAATCAATATTAAAATCATAATTTTAAAATTTTAATTTTTATTATATAATAAATTTATGGTGAGAAGACGCTGTAAAATTTATTATCAAAATTAAAAAGATCCGAATAGCCTTAAAATTAAATATTTCTCATTGTATAATATTTCTCGCATTGTATAATTTATATAACTTATTATTATTTAATATTATTACTCAGCACACAAACAATAACACTAAAAATATTTGGAACAAAAGAAATTGTTGTAAATTAATTTTGACGTCATCAAAGAATCGTTTGTTAAAATAACATCTTCAAATTGAATTTATTGCTTTGTTTCCGTAATGAAACTTAAACTTTCCTTGATGAATCATAGTTTTTGAATTATCATAGAAATTGCGAGACATACTTCACAAAGCGAAACTATTAATCGCAAACGCGGCCTAAACGGAAAGCAAATCAAAAATTAGCTCGACACGGAACGTGCTAAACAATTGTCGAAGAGTCAGACGAAATCCAGTCGCTTTTTGAATTATTTCACGAGTTATCCCGCTACCGTTGCTATTGGTCCAAAATTCGAAAAGCTTTCGCGTTTTCCCACTCGATGGATATTTCATTTGTCATTACACGTGCGAAAACTCGAACAACTTTCAACAATTTCAATCGATCTAGTTGCCCGACAACGTGAAATTCACAGGTTTCAGTCTCAAAGGACCAAGCTCGGTCATACGTGTCGTACATTCGGCGCGGTTGCATGCGGACGAAAACGAATGCATCTAAAGCGACATAATTTCGAGCGCAATGTTCCTCTGATCAGCTGTACAGGATGGAAAGAAAAGTTTGTCCGTGGCTGTCACAGAAAAGTTTCTTCATCATTTACGGACGCGTGCGTTCCAACAGCGACGTTATGCTTCTGGACGTGTAGATGTAATTTTCATATTAGGTTCCGATAACATTTAATTTATCATTGTTGTAGCATCAGTGTAGGTCGAAATAATCAAATGATAAAACTGTTGAACATTATTCGAAATATAAACATTACATAATTTCATCCACGCGTCTAGAAACGTAAAGTCGCTGTTAGCACCACGTGTTCCCGGTGTTAGATGATTAAGATACTTCTTTGCTATTTTTCAAGAGAACCATTAGGTTCCTTGGGAAAGTTTTACTTTCGCGATGAGTAGAATACGATGCAATTTTCTTTCGAATATTTTTGCACAAGCGTTGCTTATTGCGGCATTATTTATAGTTTGTTCAATTTCAAGAAATTAAATTTCGCAGAATTTGCTTTTTCTTCCAAATTGAAGCCACATGTTATGCTAAAACTGCCAAAATGGTCAAAACGGACCGTTTGAAGTATATTTTCGGAAACTCGAACGATTCGGCGTAAAACACACAAACAATAGCTTGTGTACCCGGTTTATAAGTATTGCAAAGATTTTCTGTTTCTTTTGCTTTAACGTCCCTGGTGGAAATTTTATAATTTCGGTTGCCGGTAGTTCGAGTTAGAGAACGATAGCAACCTGTCCGGGGTACATGGACAGGTTTTCGAGCAATAGGCCGCAAGCGTAACGTGATTTCCTCACGGGAAACCGTAGAAAACGCCGAGAGCCAACGGTTCAACCGCAGCTTCCACCTTCGTGAAATTATCATCAGCACGCGCCTACCAGCTGCAAATGTTTTCCGCTGGTTAACGAACGAACAACACGGACACAGCGTGGAACACTGTGTGTTTCGAGTGAATATTTCAACTGCGCGGACAAGCCTTCGAGGAACGCGCTTAGTCCAGAGTTTAGCCCCCGAGGTCTGTATCGATAATTCATTCAACTCGCGTATCGATAATTCATTTCACACACGTCGACAACGATATTGTTTCGTGCTCGCGATACGACGTTAGTGCCGTAAACAGGAAAAATTAACCCGTTGCGCGGACCATAACGAGTGACCGAACCGTATACAACGATTCGTCGCTTCCTTTTTCCTTTGAACACGTCGGTGCGATATCGACTGGATAGAAATTGTTAAGAAGTGACAAACTTATCATTCGTTTTGCCCGGGTTACATTTATATATATTTGAAACTGAGGAAATGTTGCACAAAAAAATCCTCGACGTGCGTGGTAAAAGGTTAAGGACGCAAGCGTGGGCAGAGATAAAAGATTCGAACGGTGACGTGGAGAGTCTTCTTTCGAGAGGTACGAGCCTCGAGATGGTTATTTTCTCGATCGTTATTTTCAACACTGGCGCACAGTGGGCTGGATCGAGGATCCAGGCGACATTTGATCAAAAAGAAAAGTCAACTTTCTCATTTTGATATTTTTTTAAAATATAAAATAATAATAATAACTTTAGTTACCACGGACACATAAAAATCTCGATTCTCATCAAATAAGCTCGATTAGCAAAAACAAGCGGCCACGGCGTCTCTAATAATAACGTTCGTGAGCGTATTTTCACGTAACTGGAGAACGTGAAACGCGCTCGCGTGCCGATCAATTGCCCTTGTTTTAATTAACAGAAGCGATCGACCCGCGAGTATTTCTGTTGCGAGGAAACAGGAACCCTAACCGATGGATTTATTTTCCGGGCCGGCGAGAGAGAAAGAAAGAGAGCGTGATTATAAGCTACAACCGGCAACCGGTTGTTATTTTCAATTTCGTTCATTTGTTGGTCGTTAAGCGCCATATATTAATCAACGTCTCCTCGGCGTGCGTGTTCGCGTTTCTTCCACGCTCTCTCTCTCTCTCTTTCTCTCTGTTTGAACGAATTCTGACGTTTCACGATCGTCTCTGTTCAGCACAGTTTGCATAGTCGGTTGAATCGAAGAATCGCGCAACGATTCAAAAGTCCACTGACCTCGGACACGAACGAGGGAATATCTTTAATGCCCCACGGATCGGACTTAATGTCGCGGAAACACGGGAAACGCGTTATCCTACCTCGCGGAGGGCGCGAGGGAATTTCGCTTGGCAGTGAATCTTCTCGCGCGACCGCGATAAATTATTTCATCCAACCTTTCCCAGCCGGGAGGGGGATTGAAATCTCGTGGCTTATCGAAGCCCCGCGAGAATTTGTGGCAGTTGCTTCGTTTCGGCGGTGACGACAGCTCGACTTTTTCTCAAAATTTCCTCTCTTCTTTTTTTTTGGTCGGAAACAAAGTTTCACTCTGCTGTTACACAACAACGTACACACATTATATAACGATGCACTTACTTATGGCTGTATAATCCCGCAGCACCGTGGACTGTGAACTTGTCTTGGCCAACGAAAAAGTGAAATTTTTATAATCAAACGCGGACTACTAACTTTAGAGATTTCAGAGATTGAAAGGTATAACAATTCTTGAAATTGTAAAGTGTCTTGATGTTGATTGCTCGTTGAAAATTAGACCGTTTCTGTCCGTGTTGAAAATTCTACTGAATTAAAAGGAAACGTTCAAAGGTATGTGCTAAATAGCTAGACTAGATCAGAGATGGCTAACTGGCGGCCCGCGGGCTCTTTCCTCTACTTTCCTGATGGTTAGCGCTGCCCTTTCCACCGTATCGATCTCCCCACTACATTGAAATTTCTTCGCCATGCAGTGGAGGGGGTAGCGCTAACGATCAGGAAAGTAGGGGCAAGCAGACCGCCAGTTAGCCAGCTTCGATCTAACCAATCATATTCAAAGTATGGGTCGTTTGATTTCGCCATAGGTCATCTAAAAAACAGCGAAATTGAAGCATCGATGAAACGATTGATGCTAACCGTTTCTAGACAACAAACATAATCAATATCTGATATAATATCTCAATATAAATCACGGACCAATGGCCCTGTTGATCTACGTGATGTTTCTAAACCCTAATCCGAGTAAACATTAAACATTCAAATGAATGTCCAACGGAAATATAAACTAAATCACGATTCAGAGCGCAGGAACGTTTCAATATTCTTGCGGTGACACGCTCGAAAGGAGAAACTCTGCTCTCTGGGCGAGGCACACAGTATGCTTTTCAAGAGAAAAGGGAAATGGCAAATCGTCGTGGAGACTCGCGGAGTGAACGAACAGGAGAATCTGACGGGGACTTTCCCAGGCAATTTATCGGGGCGTAAAGTCGGCGCTTACCTCCTGGAAAAGCGATTCAGCAGTTTGCCAAGGCTGCGGAAGTAACGGGGCGCGGTAACGTAAACGTAGACCAGCTGATCCTCGTAGCCGTGAGCGGCGGTTCCTCGATCCCGGTTGCGGCTGTGATTGTAAAGATCGGCAGTGGCAGCGCCTAGAGTGGCGTTCAGCAGCGTCCCCCACCTTATCTAACCGAGGAACCAAGCAAATCATTTTTTCCCCTTCCGCGGGAACATCCGTCCAACGCGATATAGATGCGTCAACGTCTACTCACATAACCGAAACTCTCCTGGAGGTAGGACATGTTGAAAGGGACGTACACCCTCTGATCGACGTCCACCCAGTTGTACAGGTCCTTGTGCTTCGGATAGATCTGCAGGATCGAGACGATACCATTATTGACACCATTGAACAGGCGAACGTACATGTTGAGAACGTTGTCAAATTCGGCAACAATGGATAAGGAATGAAAGGGATGTTGTGCATCTGATAAATTGCAAAGGGATGAGCGTGCGCGCGGACGATCTGCGGCGTTTCCAAACGATATTTGAACGAGGATAGCGATTGAATATTGCGTTGAATCGCAATGAGTACTCGTTGATTCACCTTGCTGAGGGACAGACAGAATTGCAGCAGCAGATCGGTCTCCGACGCGCGGTCCTTCGGGTCCATCGTCCTCGGCAGGAAGCCCTCGACGATTCTCTGAATCCTCCGCGATCTCTGCTCCTCCATCTTGTTCTGAAAGCAAACAGCCATCCACACAGTGAGACCCACACTATTCGATTGACAGACCCAGGTGTGTGTATGTGTTTGATCGGTCACGCGTGGCTCACGTTGGTGAGGAACAAAACCGTGGATTCGGTGAAAAAGATCGGTGGCACTTGCTATCGCTATCGATCGTCGCAGGATTGATGATCGCGAAAGAGAAAGAGAAAGGGGTGAGGAGAATGCCTATGGATATCAAATCCATCCGTTACCGCGAAGGAAGATCGATCGTTTCGACGTTTTCGTGGAAAACACCTTGAAACGAAGAAGAAAAAGAAAGAAGAAAGAAAAATCTCAAGTGAAAACCGAAATGGAAATATGGAATTTTTCTTCGAAGATGCAGACTGGTTCGAGTCGGAACCCGGCTCACCAACTGGTTTTGTTGCACTCGGCGCCGCGATAACGGCGATCGAACATTTCGTACGCGGCTTTCCTCGCGGAGAAGGATGAGGCCGGGATTATTCGAGCGTAAATAATTTCGTGGGAAAGATCGATGGGCGCTTCCGGCACCGCGACGACGCGCACGGGACGAAAAAAGGGAAATCGATCGAACCCGGTGCCGATAAGCGCCCGAAGGACGGACGTTCGGTGGTTCTGCCTTTGGCACACTTTCCGCCGGAACTTTTTCTCCCCGAGAGCCTTTAAAGAAAGACTCTGGCCCGCGGGAATTCGCTCCCGATGAACTTCTCCAAATGTTCGTGTATGCAGCGTAACGACACCGACCGTCGAGCAGCTTCTTTCATCTCTCTTTCTGCGAGCAAGTTTCACGCGTTCCCTCGAGAACGGAAACCCGGCTCGCCGGAGAGCACCTTCCGCTACTCTCTATCCGGTCATTCACTTTCCGTCGTCGACGCTTTCGTCGAAATGGTTTCGCACAGCGCCATCGAGACGATTTGCGATCTCTTTCTCTGAATCTGGTCTCCGACCAACACTTTCGACACGATGCTGACCAGAATATATTTCGAACGTCTCGCCGCTACGCGAGTTTGGAAATCCACCTTCAGAATAGTGGCATCTTCGTTGCACACTTTCTAGGTGTTGCGCACTACTTTATTGACTATTGTACCGTGTGTCGCTTCTTTCGTTTTTCTCGCGTTTGTCCTGGTGTTTGTTGCAGTGCTTTTTTTATTCCATCCTATTGCCTGCATTTAAAGATTTTTGGTTGGCTACATGCTGTTTTATTTGTTTCGTTTATTTTGGTTGTAAAAACACCTACTGCATAATAAAGAAGTTTCTGATTATTGTTTAGCTGCTACTGCGTGTTTTGGTAGCCTAATTTTCATTTTTGTCTCTTCGACGTTGTAATTGCCTGTGTTTCGTATTAATTATGGTCGTTTTGTGAGTGTTGAACATTCTTGTATAAATTAATTAATATTGATTGTTGGTATATATTTGCTGGTTTTTTGTGCAGTTTTGCTGTTGGAGTGTCATGTTGTCTATTATGATTCTAAGAAACTTTTGCGTTTTTTGTACTTCGTTAATGTGTTTTGGCTGAAACCAGAACTGCCGCTCTTTGCGTCCTTCTCAATCGCGTGATTGGGAAAGTAAATCATTTTCGGCTATTGGCAAAAGTCAATCCAATAAACTATAATATAGGCTCACTGCGTCCCTCGTTACATATATATTGCGCTGCAATGACATGTCACGCACGATTCGAGAATCTTTTATCCCGAAATTGCAACATTTTTTCAGTTTCATTATATATTAAATACAACCAAATGCAAAACAAATGATAAGTTTATTACCATCTTGATAATTTCTATCGGGTGATATCGTACCGACGAGTTCAAAAGAAGAGGAAAGCGACGAATCAATGTACACGGCTCGGTCCGCGAACCAGTTAAATCCCAAATCACGTCGCCCTCTCGTTTCCCCTAATCAAGCAGCGGGGGCCGGCTCGTGGGCGCAAGACGTCGACTTGACACTTGAAATCCTTTATTGGCGGCCCAGGGTGGGTATTATTAACGGCTCGTCGAATTAAAAGGAACACACGCCGGTGAAGTCTCGATGGGGCATCGTTATCGAAGTCGTTAGCGTGGCACAAAGCTGCGCGGATTTCGTTTCCTTTCCTCCCCGACACAGTGTGTCATCACGTACGACTTTCTCGTCCCTCCGCTTTCTCTTTGCCTCTTCAACTTGTTCAACCAGCGTGCCCACTCTCCCCCCCCCCCTCCTCCTCCTCCTCCTCTGCCTCTTCGCGGTCCCGCAAAAATAACGCGACCCAATTTCCGCAAGTTTCCACGATGGATCGAGCCATTGATTCCCCGCGGACCGTGGCCCGAGATTCTCGTCCTCGAGTGTTCTCCAACGCTCCTAGCGAGTGTTTCCCCGTTCGATGCGCTCCTATCCCCTCCCCCTTGGCAAATAAATGAAGTCACGGGCGCCTGAAGGAATGGGCGAATGGTATGGTAACTAAAGCAATATCCGTCGGTTCGTGTTTTATTCGCGGGGAATTCCGGCGGGGAACCGAAACCGAAAACCCGGAGGAGACGAACCTCGAGGCAACGCGCCTCAATTACGAAGGAAATCGCCCACCTCGTCGGATACTCCGAAGTCTTCTCCTTGAAAAATTTTCAGGAAACAATTTCCCCCGGGTATCCTTACGTTTGCTCGAAAATTTAATAAAGCTTCCGAGGAGGACGGGGGAGGTATTGATTAGGACGATAGGTGATAGTTTCGCGTCTATCTGGAGGAAGTAACCGGAGGAGGAGAAAGGGAAATGGACCCTCCTGCGCCGACAATTCAACCCTGGAGGATTCTCGGAGTCCGAAACAGAGACTCCGTCGAGAACTTCCGATCGAGAATGAGACGACCTAACGAATGCAATCGAAGTCGTAAACGTTTGCAGTTATTATGGCGAAGGCTAGACCTAGGAACGTTCGTTTCAGCCGTTCCTAGTCTACGACTTGAAATATTAAGGCCCTCGCGCGGACGTTGAAACATGCATCGACTCCTAGGTTTTACGAAACCTGCATCAACTTGCCTCCATACTACTGATTCTTCAGTTTTTCGTGTGACGTTGAAACACATGCTTTAAAATGTCGGACCATCTTCCAACATTACTGTTTATTATTAGTTGCAGAAAAATAGAAAGAAATTAAATACTAAAAAGAAGGGTATAATTGTGCGAGAGATCAGATTGATGAGTGCGGATCGACAGTAATGAATTATGAGAGTATATAGATTTAGCGAGAGCTTTAATTTTTTTGTCACTTGCATTCTGTTAATCCCCATTTTAATAAACCACGTAGGTAAAATATCCTTCTACTAATGAGCCGGATTCGATTACTCGTCTCGACTCTACTCAAGTCGCTAAAGCGTCAAATAGATTTTGAGAATCCATTCTTCGCGCTCTGGTGAACTTTCTGGCAGAGTCTGGCTCCCCAATTCAAGAAACTGGTACGTGGGCAAAACCTCAGCCAGTCGATTACCTCTTGATGAGAATTCCTCCCAACTCCGCGAGTTCATTTATTTAAATTTATTCCATTTGACCATTAGCCTTGCGTGTCTACGTTGGCCAATGCTCGCGTCGCGACACGCAACGCAATCCCATGCAAATAAAGATAATGAAAAACATTGAAATCCTCTTCCCTTCACGTTTGCGAAAGCGCTCGAAATGCATAATCCCCTCTCCCTCCCCGAATATGCACGCCACCAGGCAGGACACGAAAATTGCAACGACTCGCGGTGGATGCGTTATCCGATCCTTTTTAATAAACCGCGGGGTTTTAATGGTAAAACACCGGGCACGAGTGAATTAATAAGACGAGCCCGATAAGTTGGCCGTAGGTAATGGCCATAAACCTACGGGCAACGGCCGGTTACAGCTTAACTGCTTATCCCTTCAGGAGTAAAAAAGACCCGCGTGTAAAATGCGAGCCGCGGATCAAGCCGCGATGTATAAAATTATCCGCGTGTGTGGAACGAGAATTTATTAAATCCGCGCGTCTCTTCCTAACTGTGGACGCACCGTTCTATCTTTATTTTATTTTATCTTACTTGAACTCATTCTTTTGATACTCATTTCTGGTGATGTGGTGATTAGTTCTTTGCTCGGACAGTATTGGAAATATTTGACGAGTAGTAACTACAGCAGTGCCCGCTTAAGCGTCCGTCTTTTTAGAATTGGGACTATTCCCACTCACGTGAAACACGAAACGAAACGAAACGAGTGACATGTGATATTTCGCCGCATTATGGTTGCTTCGGACGCATGTATCGATCAATGTGAAGCAAATTTTATATTAAATACCAAATTCATACCCAATTTGTACGTATTAATACGATTACATAGAATTGCACCGTGTATATTGTTAATTTAATACCGATGAAAATGTAACAAGACCTTTATTCAAGGTTCCCATTCAATTATTAACAATTACTTTTACAGGAATTTCAATGAATTTTCGAGAAATCTAGATTAATTGAAATCACTTTTATAATTATTGCTTTATTACAATTTATTGCTTTACTTAGTCTAGAAGTATGTATGCGTCAAATTTAAAATAGTTTGAATGCAAGTCAGTTTAAATAAAATGTTAAAAGATTTCTTTATAATGAAGAAATAATGTAGCAAACGATACTGGAACTTGCCTCACGTGTTTGGTATCGGTGTAACGAACATCCCCACTCTTTCTTTCGATCCCAAACTGTGGACGCTTAGGAGGGCGCTACTGTACCTTTAACTATTCTCTTGATACTTCGCCAGTGTCGAAAATACGTTAACTATATCAAAGTCATCTTCCGATTGACGAATTATAAATAATCCTGTCATCGGTATCAATCGAGTAACTACGCCACAGATAAAGTGTAAAGCGCAGAACGAAGCTGCAACGTTCGAAATATATATATATATTTCCAACCAAGTATTTTTCGGAACGGTGTAATTTTCCAGTGCAGATTATTAAAGATGTACACGTATAGAACGACGAGTCCCACGAGCAGCGCAGCGAGGCCACCAACGACGAGCACCG